TCTTCAGGATAGACAGAACACGCTCCGTGGGTTTCTAACATTAAAAGAATCATGGCGGTCTCTGAAAACCCTGGTAGCATCATTCAAAAACCATGAGATCTGTTCTGTGTACCACAGACAGATAAATTTAGATTATCTGAGAAGGGGAGGAGAGGCAGAACAGAACACAGAAAGGGCACAGGACAGAAGTGTGGGGGTTGTGAATAGGCCAAGCTCTCCTCTAAGGTATGGACTGAATCCTTCAGTGTGGTAGAGAGTGCCACCTATGGAGAGAGGGCAGAAAATGATGGTGGGGGGAGTCACTCACACCCACACAAGGGGTTCTTGGGTTGGGACAGAGTCCTATTATCACACAAGCACTAACACTCAGAATCAGTACACAATGGTCTCCAGGGAGATCGCAGGACCGGTGTGGTGAGATGATATATTATAAGTCCTTAATCTGAAAATCTTAAATCCAACGTGTCCCAAAATATTTGAGCTCCATGACAACAGCATGGAAAATTTTATATCACGAAACTTGTGTTTCATGCAACTGAGCATTTAAAATATTGTGTAAGATTATCTCCAGGCTCTGATTAGGGGGTGATTATGAAAGAGAAAAGAATTCCGCATTTACATTTGCGTCTCACCTGCAAAGTATGTCCTTGTGCATAGATCTCCTCAAGTAGGAAACACTCTGGTCCTAAGCATGTCTGGTAAGGGATTCTCAACCCATCTTCTATTCTGAGAATACAACATCTCATGACCCAGTAGTAAGCTTCCTGTCTCTGTGGCTTCTACAAGGCCTAAAGTTGCTACTTAATTAGCATGCCACTGATGTTCAGAGACTCCTCGGTACCTACTGGTTCAAATACCTTAAGTTTTAATAGAGTAGAAAAGGTACTTACAGCCGAACTAGATTGGTGAGCCCTCGAAAAATGTCTGCGTTCAGACAGCCTATTCGGTTGTTTGTCAGGTCCCTAAGGGAAGAAGGAAGGGATGACTTTATTTAGCTCTCTTAATTAATATAGCTCTGATAGATTCTGATTCGGGTCAAGAACATTAACTCCCTTCTTTTCTGCATCCTCCCACAAATGTGACACAAACAGCACTCCAGAAAATAGTTCCTGGTTTACCTTCCTTCTGGCACACACACACACACGAGATGCTATTTAATTATATTTCACCCACTTACTCTATGAAATTATTCAAGACAACACTGGAGTAGTAAAAACAAGATTCACTCTATCTTACTATGTGCTAGAACTCCTGAGATGCCCTGCAGAGTCAGTCAAGGGAGAGGGCTCAGGAACGTAGCCCAATCATCAAATCGCATTAGCAAATATGACTTTTATAACCCCAGCCTTTAGATACTCAGACGCTCTAAGCAGAATGATGAGGAGAAACACTAACTTAGCTTTGACCTTACAAATCTGTCATTCACTCTCAAGCCAAATGATTTTAACAACATCTAGATGCTGTTAAAATTACTGGGGTAACAGCCCAGCCATTCTACCAGCATACCGTAATGCCTAACAACTCCTAGCACCTGCCGCCCTCGAAATATTTCTTCTCATAAATCTATAAAGTGTCCTCCTTTTTATTTATGCATACTTATTAACTATTATTTATGACGATGTGGGGGAGCAAGCATAAGTACAAGGCACACAAGTGACACAGCGTCATGTGGAGGTTGACGGACAACTTTCGGGAGGTGGTTCTCTCCTTCCAGGCTGTGTCCGTGGAGGGAACTCACGTAAGGCTTGCCCGACAAGGGCTTTGCCTGTGGAGCCCTCTCACTGGCCCTGTGAAGCTCTAGCTAATATGGCTGCTGTGCTCTCTTACTGAAATGCACACCTGGAACAAGGAACACACTGGAGCTTCCATTTACCCAGGGTGCCAGTGAAAGCTGTGTAGAAAGGCAATTTCATACTTTTCCCTGGCATGGCTGGCACGCCTTTCTATCTCTGTTTCTAACTCTGGGAAAAAAAAAAAAAAAACCTGTGATGAATCCTTCCTTTTATCAGTTGTTACATTTTGAGTAACTGAATTCACTTAGACTATTATAGCGAAATTAGAAACTTCTATAAATCAAAATCTCAAAAAAAACTGTTCTATTTCTTCTAACGTCCACATGAGTTTCCAACACAGAAGAACACATCCTTTGCTATACTTTGAGTTACACTAAAAAAATAAAAAAAAAAAGAGGAGGGTAGAGGGCTCATTTCCAAACAAAAGCTGCAAAATTCACCACACAAAGCACATGCATTTGACTATAAATCCAAAGCCCAGAGCACGTCACCTGGGTACCTCCTCAGTGAGTTTGCCCCTGTGGATTTCAAGGCCACCCTGAGTTATCCAGCAGAACAAGACGTTTTAGTTCTGGCTTTCCTCTTTTATGGCTAAAGTAACCTTAAGCCACACAAAGCCTGCTCTTGGCTTGGATAGCTCAAGCTCCTTACCATCTTAAAGCCAAGCATTTAATCATGTGGGATTTTTTTAAAAGTAGATTTTCCTTTTATTTCTAGGTTTTACAGTTTAAGAAAATGAGGTATCATCTTGTGGGCTGTTGCTGGAACAAGCGTGTTCCGGTCCTATTCGTTATCCTAGCTCCCTTCTTCTGAGCTTTAAGTGATGTAATTACCATTGACTCTTTGGGAAACAATTTCATTATAGCTTCACCTACTTAAATGGAATTTAGGTATTGATAATGAGTTTTCATTTGGATTGAGAATCAGCTTAAATTCGTTGATAAAGCCAAGAAGAACGCGTGAAAGGGTTCGAGTTTCCACTACTCCTGGTAGTTTCTCTTTCAGAAGCTACTTAATCTTCCTGACTCCAATTATCTATAACTACAGACCAAAGCATGGACACAGACAAACATTTTGTGTGGCCACTGAAATGAATGACCTGAAGCTTTGCAAGAAAGAGAGTCTGGGTCTATAAAAGAAACTAGCAACCATTAACTACGAACTACAGGGCTATCTTTCCATCCCACTAAGCCTCCACGTAGGACTCCTTCAGCTTGCAAGTAGCACGCCATAAGCGCAATTACAAGTCAGCTGCTTGGAATTAAGAATGTATTTGCTGGCAGGAAGAAGACTGTAAATGGCAATTACCTTCCAAGGCAGGAACACCAGAAGAGCACTTAGTGTGCAGTGCAGTGCAAACAGGCTAAGGCAAAACCCCGCACAATTACCAGTAATTAACTTAAACGCTACTGAACAAGATTATTAAACTTTTGGATGGAGGTACTTGAGACATTATTTAGGATAAGGAACTAAAGCAGAAACCAGAGGTTTGCTGAAAATGTCACTGAACTGCCTTTTAGTTCAGTCTAGTTCCTCTGGCCTGTATCTTGGCATGGAGGTGTTACAAGCATTGATTTTTCTGTTATCCAAACGGCTGTGAAGACAGTGGTGTGGAACACACAGGAAACAGAGAACATGTGATGGTAATAGAAGGAAGAAGTCGGAGGGGAAACATGAATTGTAAGCATCAGTTACTGGGAAGGATGATTAAAACAAACTTGGCCCAGATCCAGAGTTCCTGACAGGACAGGGCTTATCGGGGCTTATCATTAATTCTTCATTTACCTAACCACGCACAGACTCAAGAGTCTGTTTCCTTCATCCTGCTTCTTCTCCAAAAATAGTATCATTCCTTCTTGAGGAGGCTCAGTGAACCAGAGTAATAACAAGTCGCTGTCTGGCAGCCATTCATTCCTGACTCTTTGCCCACACTGTATAGCACGTTAACAAATCTAATTTTCTCTCTTTGGTCAGTATTTTGTCATCTAAGTCCAGATAGGGCACTTAGGAGGTCAGTCCTCCGGTCCACCTTCTCACTCACATCGAGAGGCTGTGAGCTGTTCCAGAGAAGTGGGCGTGTGTACGTAGCCAGTGCGCAGTAGCTGTCTTTACAGGGAACAGAATGGAGGATGGTCTACGTGCCTTTAGTGCAGTCAGCTTCCAATGTGAGGAACTAGCAGGAGGTGAGCCTTCAGAGCAATCAAACAGACTCTTTAGGCTTCGAAGTAAAAACACACAAGGAAATGGCAAGCAATTACACCATGAATGGAAAGCCTGAATTCCTGGGACTACAAAGACATACAGTTTGACTGGAGTCAAACTCCAGGATTGTCTCTACAGTAGTCGCGGCTACAGCGCTGACATGATAATGTGTCTGTTAGTGTAAGAGAGGCACCCAAAGCATACTGATGGAACATTTAAACCCTCTCTTTTCTGCCGGGGACCTGGCCAGATGAGCCTCTTTTGTCAAGCTGGAGTTCACTGCTAGCGATAAAAGGCATGGTTCAGACTCCCAAGCAAGCAATTCAAAACTCACAATCTCTTCAGCGACGACAGTCCCCAAAAGGCACCAGGGGCTATCCTGCTAATCAGGTTGTTCCGGAGGTCCCTGCGAAAGGAAGACAGTCAAACAGTCAACGCCTCATGAAGTATTTCAGCATACACTTACCTGCCACAGACACAACCACCAAGGTGGGAGAAAACCACAGCAAAGGTGGGTAAGCCACAATCTCCCCAGCAGCGAGTGACAAAATGGGAACGCAAACTTGAGACCTCTGACCTCAAAGCCTTTTGTTTCACCAACAAGATGTCACAAGAGGTACAGGGTTCTAGTAGCACTCAGAGGTCCATCAATTCTAAGCAGATCTATTTTGTCCTTCCCTTTTGCCATGTTCATGTACGTATGGTGTGCAATGTTTGCAGGCATGCGTGCAGACACGGGGGTGCAAGGGCATGTGTGCTTGCATGTGTAAACCAAGCGCGATGTCATGAATCGCCTCAACAGCACTTCCTCCTTATTATCTAAACAAGGGTCTTGCTGATGGTTTGTCTTGCTAGTCAGCTTACTCTGGGGATCTCCTGTCTCAGCCTCCCTAGACGGGAAGCCCAGGCGGGGTGTCGCGCCTTCCAGGTGTTTATATGGATTATATTCGGGGTGAACCAAACAAACTCTCGTCCTCCCTCCTTCTTCCTCTTTTTTTTTTTTTTAAATGTTGGGTAGTACTGTCAGCCCTGCGGTTTTCTCCAGGAAAGGCTGTTCTTTCTCCACCCCTTTGTCTAGGAGGAGTGGATCAGCAAAGTCTTGCTTCATCAGACTCAGCCTTCTTGGTCCTCCAGAAAATTTCAGGATGTGTGGAACGAAGTCAGATTTTTTTCCTTTTGTTTTGTTTTGCTTTTTGAGACCGGGTTTCTCTGTAGCTTTGGAGCCTGTCCTGGAACTAGCTCTTGTAGACCAGGCTGGCCTCGAACTCACAGAGATCTGCCGGCCTCTGCCTCTTCCTCTCGAGTGCTGGGATTAAAGGCGTGCGCCACCAGCGCCCAGCAGCCCTCCCTCTTCCAAAGGTAGCATTTTAGCCACTAAGGCAGTGTTCCAGGACCACACACACATTATGTCTGCAATCTCTTCCTTACTTTGGTTATTAAGCACATCGGTGATTGTGCTTATCACAAATATCATTAAATCGAATTTTTCCAAAATAATATTTTTAAAAGACGTACTCTGAAATTCGTGTGACTTGTTTTGTTCCCCTTCCCTGGGATTCTAGACTGAAATTCTCCATAAACTGAGGTTATAAATAAACACATTATAAATCACAATGCATTGCCCAGAGCAAAGACAGAAGAAGCTGTATCTCCTGTCATTTTAATCTTCTCAAGCAGACGACCATCTCCATGCCAGTACTCGACGATAGGAGGGAAGCAGTGAGTTCCAGAGCCATGTATGTCTCCCTACCCATGAGAAGGTCAGGCCTCTGAAGATGGATAATCCAAGTGTGAACTAGACCTCTGTAGAAGGCCAGTACTTTGGATAATTTCCTAGTATCACGTTGCTTCCAGTAAGTAGCCCACCCAGATGCCCTGTCCAATGAGTGCCCGCTGGTCATCTGTCAGCAAGCCTGAGGGCAACACACAGAAAGTCTTCTCCACAAGTCCACCTCAGTGATGACAGCCTTGCCCCTACAGAGCCATTCCTGAATCTCCTGGGCCTCTTGTCTTCACACACGGCTTGGCCACATGCACACTGCTGACCAAACAACAGATATGAGCTAAGTGAATGTTCACCAAGTCAGAATGACAGCTACCTGACTCCAAAGTCCCTTCCAGTTCACTCGGGATGGGAAAGGCCATCCTGGCCATCGATCCTGGACTTGGACAATACCCGCTCCTACAACAGGGAGTTAACCTGCACCATGCATATCTAAGAACTATGGTTCTACCAAGGACAGTTGAACCCATGCCCAGGACGTCTCTAAGACTCAGACACAGTCGTCTGATAACCTTTTCAAACCCACTACAGCTCAGAAATCACCAGAATCCCTTTTCAACTTATGTTCAAGAAAAGACGCCTGAGAATAAGTCTCACCAAGTTGAGCAGTGTCCTGGGTTTTTGCCCATCCCATCTGACATCTGAGAGGCACACCCCACATCACTGCTCTCCTAGCTAATGAAAACTGCCGTGCAGTCTGACTCACACATGCTTTTCTTTTCTTCTAAAAGCTTATTCTAATTACCAACGCAGCAAGAATGCAATACAGGGGCAGCATTCTGGAAGGTTTCTTTCTCTCTCTCTCTCTCTCTCTCTCTCTCTCTCTCTCTCTCTCTCTCTGTCTCTCTCTCCCTTCCTTCCCTCCCCTCCTCCCCTCTCTCTCACACACACACGCACACACACACGCACACTCACACACACGCACACTCACACACGCACACGGACGCACACACACACACGCACACACACACACGCACACACACACTCTGATAAGGCTGGTCTCTGCTCACCGTGGCAGAAGTCACTCACTCACTCACTGTGAGCCAACATTCCTGATGTGTCGCTGACTGTGTGGCTTCCCATGCTGGCCACGCAGGTGATGAGATGGACTACAAGTACTCTGGACCACTCCAGTTCCACTTTTACGAATCCTATCTGTGTCGTGGCCGCCACTGACTTCTGGCACGCTTCCTTCCTTGAGTATTATGGCTGGAAAATGAACTGTCCCCCACGGGCTCATGTGTTAAATACTTGGTCTCTAGTTGGGGATGCTACTTTTGGAGGGGGTGGGGACCCTGGGAGGTGAAGTCTCACTGTTGGAAGTAGCTCACTAGGGACAGGACTTCCTCCTTCTCTGCTTCATATCTGCCATGATATGAGATGCTTTCTCATACCCACCCAACACTCATGTGGACTTAAAGGGAGCAAAAGGAATCTTTGCTCCTCATGCACAAAGATGAAGAAAATTTGGTCAAGTTCTTGATGTCAGGATTCAGGCACACCCTTCATGAAGCAGGAATTCATTAAAGGAACTAAGTAAATTTACACCTAAAGCAATTGAAAAATTGATAACCAAACACGCCATGAAGCTGGTCATCATTAAATCAAGGTGCTGGAGGGAAGATTCTTTCAGCCTCCCTGCATGTTTGAAAATGAAGCTGAAAAATAAATTATTGTATACGACAGTAATGTCTCAAGTCACTCAGGTCCTGTGCGAGCCCCGTGGCAGTATGTGGCATAGACTTTTAAACACAGTTTGCACTGTATATCGAGCACAGACTTTTTAAACAGTGTATCTATCTCCTCAGCTTTTCTCCATTGCAGGTCATCTTCCTGAGCAGAACCTTGATTGTGTCTCTCTGTTAAAACCTCCAAAAGTTCCCATTACTCGAGAGGGAGGAAAAAATGCGAAGTCTTTAAAGAGCCTTGATCCCTGAGACCCTGTCCTTGTCCGTCTTCCCTATGACCCCTTCCTTCACGCTCCTGCATTCAAGTCTTCCCAACTTCATTTCGCAACGTGTCTACAAAGGACCATTTTCACATTAGACATGTAGTCGGTGACAGGACGCTTCTCTGGCACACTCGGCACTGGTTTCTCTCCTCAACATCAAGTCCACAGCACCAGGAACTTGTAAGACAGACAGACCATGGTGTACTGTGGCCTCGGGAAATGGGATCATGTACAGAGAGTAGGTTGGGAGGCAGATAAATGGAGGAAACAATAAGCCAAAGCTAAGAGACCCAAAATCACAAGACCAACCCTTAACTTTACAGATCCTTCAGGCAACTATACAACATATAGTTGTAACTATAGTTACAACTCCATATGTAACTATGGAGTCACAAAATCAGCCAGCTATCGAATCAAGTCAGACAGGGTGAATAACATGGCATCTCACACAACATGAACACTTCTCAGAAACAACAGTGTCATGATGTCCATCAGTGACATCCATGTGATAACTTCGAATGTATACATGATGTACTGCCATATTCCAATGGTAATGTTGGGCAGCAAACTGTTAATCATTATTAAATTGCTGAATATGAGCAAACTGCTGATTTGGGAGGGAACATGGTCCTTTTCATGTTTCAGAAGTATACAAGCTTTCATAATAAAATTCCCTTTGTCCCACCTTTCTTAAATGTATCAGATCTTAACAGGAGGCACATACCTCAGAAGCCTCGACTTTTCAGGTCCTGCCTCCCACTCTCGCACTGCACACCTCAAGGAGGGAGAGTTTCAGAGTAAATAACTCTGATTATCACTTATTTTGAATAAACAAAACAAACAAAATCTCTGCAAATAGAAATATACAATAGCAGCCCTACTTTTTTAAAGCATAAGCTTCCCTTCTCAGATTCTAAACAGCTTCTCCACGAGGAACCAAGCCGCTCATAAATCTGTGGTCAGTGATAAACTGTGTGTGTTTCTACAAAATACCTCGCATGAATAACTGAGTACTGTAATATGATTTAAAGATACATTTTTTCTTTAACAATACAAAATTCTTGACATATTATATAATATTTAATAATAGCCATATTAATCAGACACTGCCAAAAGATATTTATAGTCAGACCCACTCATTTAGTATTTCTCTCCCCAACAATGCAAAGTGTGTCTAGTACTCTAGTACACAGTAGTCCAACTTCAGGATGCAGGGCTAAATCACAAAAAAAAAAAAAAAAAAAAAAAAAAACCTACCTAAAAAAAAGCCCAGGACATGTTCTTACAAACCTGAATGCCTGTATGCCTGTTTAACGTCCTCCCTCAGGCTTACGTGTGTGGACACTTGGTCCCCAGCTAGTGGCACTGTTTTTAGAGGCCATAGAACCCCTCTACGGGGTGGGGCATAGCTGGTTGAGATGTGTCATTCGCGACTGGCCTTTCAGGGTTACAGCCAGTCTGCTTCAGGTGGAACTTCCTGTTCGCCATCACCCCGTGACTGACCACGGGGAAGCTCATCTCACACAGCCTCTCAGTCTGTCTGAGCTACCACGATGCCCCACCATGACCTATAGATCCTCTGGAACTGTAAGCCAAAAGAAATCTCTCGACTCTCCTCGGCAGCAACAGAAGAATCACCGCAGTGACCTGAGTGAGAAATGTCCTCCATTGGCATCCGAGTACTCGGTCCTCAGTTGGTGGTACTGTTGTGTGTGGAGGGGAAGTTGGGTAGTGTGGCTTTGCTGGATTGTTGAAGAACTATGACATCAGCGGAGGGCTTTGAGAGCAAAGAGCCCCACCTACTTCCATGCTGTCCTCTCTGCTCCATGCTTAGGGTCACAGATGTGAGCTGTCAGCTTCCTGTTCCAGGGGCTATGCTGTCCTCTGGCTGCTAAGCTTCTCAGTCACAGCCGACTCTCTAGGCTGCCTTGGTCATGGTGTTTTACCATGGCAACCAAAGGGTAAAAGCACTGACGTCTTTAGGAATGAATATATAAAATAAGGGATGAGGTACCTTTAATTGCAAGCAGCCCAAGGCTCACCTCAGCTGGGTATGGCAGTGCACACCTGTCATCCCGGCACTCAGAAGGCAGGGTGCTCTTGGCTAGTTCAAGGCTAGGATGGCAAACTAAGTCCCTGTCTCAAATGTAGTAATAATAATAAAACTATCATCGCACATTAAAGGAAATGGAGAAGCCGAGCAGATGTGGCTGGCTCCATACACCTCTCAGAGCCACCGTCCCCTACAGGGAAATGCATGTCCGTCATTCAGGATGTGGTACCCCAGGTGCCCAAATTCCTCTGGGCACAATCACAAGAAAAAAACAAACAAACAAACAAAAAAAAAAAAACAAGGAACAAGCACTGTATTCTTGTATCTCCTAAGAAACCAAGAGCTCTT